CTCCTTTACAATAATTCCATGAAATTTGACGTACGATTCTCCTTCGCCGACGAAAATTTAAGAATTCAAGAAATTGTTGACATTGTATTCGTTTGATGTTCAAATGATCTTACTTGTCGTAAGAGGCAGACTTCGAATCAATTGTTTGATTTCTCTACATACTTTTACATAGTATGACAATTGATAAAATTTTCACTGATCCATCCACTACTTAAGATTTAAAAACATCTTGAAAATAGAGCCTTCGAGCTTTCTTCGCGAAAGTGTAACAGTTTAAACATTTAAATGTCTGGATATTAACTGTCTGGGATCATCGTAGACAGATAACGAAAGTACGAGACTAATTTTTACGCCTGTATCTAGACAGTAGATATCTTCTTGCAATATTCAGAGGGGACAGATGACCCTAACAAATATTGTCTCGGCGTACATTCGTTCGGTTATGCATGAAAAACGAGCGTTTCGGTGGTTTCCGCGGCTTCTGAATATCTAATGGGTTCCTTACTGGGGCGAAAACGTTTCAACGCTTGCAAGTTATGGGCACGCGTTGAAAGCTGTTACGGTTCTCCCTGGCTCGGCTCTTATCCTCGCCGCGGCACTCAGTCGGATTTGAACAACCCTCTTTGTTTGATGTTCTTTAATTCTTTCATTCTGCGGTTCAGGCGTTTTAAAGCCTCGAGGCTGAGGGGGCTTCAAGAGGTTCCTTTGCTGATGTTGTTTTCACTCGGCGTGAAGAGATAATTTAGTTTTTTTGTCATTTATCGTTTGTAACGTACGGGCGAATGTACGCGACGAAATGATGGCGGTGTCGAGCGATTCCGTTTCATCTTTCATCATTCAAGGCGGGCTATAATGCAGATGATAATTGTATGTTTCTTTGTACGGCCGGGAATATTTCTTTTGAGAAATAATAGAAACAACTGGATAACTTTGGTACTTCACGTAGAGAAAGCTGAATGAATCAGCGTCTCGATTTAAGGATATTTCTTGACCTCCATTATGTTTGTAACGAACAGATTTAAGAATCGAACGAGACCGACTGCGAGAATAATCTTTTTAACAAGATTCTTCTTTCTATCTAATTGAACGTAAGGTATATTTCATCGGTATTTCTTCAATATGATCTGATCCCAGATCTAACGAGTTCTATCAAAATCCATAAAATGTCCAAAATACTTTGTTTTAAATATTACATTTGAAATTATTCTTAAATATTTCAATCAATTATGTAATTATGTAAATTCATATGACTCACTACACGATTAATTTTCTAATCTTTAAATTTCTACTAAAATCAATGTCCACGTCCATTCGTATTATAAAGGAGTAGCTGACGTATTTCACTCATAAATTCGAAATAATAGAAGACGTCAGATAATCGCAAACGTTCTGTCTCGTTTCCAAACAAACAGCAATATTTCCAAATATATCTCGCCGCACTAACATGCGCTCATGCAACGCGAGTTCCCGCTGCTACATATATTTTCCTTCTAATTCAACATCCAAGCAGGGAACAGCGTGCTGTATCTGAGATACAGGGCCACTGCAACGCCCCTGGATCCCGTATATTTTCTTACCGCAACCGCAAATTTCCAGTTTTAGTAAGTCACTGACCGAGAGCCGGGTTACTGCAAATTGGCCGAACCAAAGCTGGGCATGGGATCAAGTCCAACATGTATTTACAAATCCGAGTCAAATTCGATATACAAGTTTCGTTCCGTGGGATTTGAATACTGCACGAAAGTGAAAATGTTCCGATGAATACATTTGCAAGCTGCGTGGCTATAGCATTCGAAAATATACTCGCAGATAGACTGCAGATTTCTATGCGAAATTTAATGCAGAGAATGCACGCAATCTACAAAAATTAATAAAATATTAGAAATAGAGAACATGTTAGTTAGAACGTTTATCAGTGTAGTGAACTATATGAAAATCAGCAGTCTACTCGTGTAAGTTCGAGTCTTTGAAATTCCGTGTTTCAAAGATTGTCACTCATATTATACGAACGTTTATACGAACGATAAATGAATACTTAAATGTAACGAAATGAATGCTTGAATTCATTTTGCAATAAATACTGTGACGCAGCAGCAATGTTTGAATCATACTAAACATCATCCACCTGTGACATTCTCTGAGGTGAAACAAATTTAAAAAAGGTGTCAGGCTAATTACATTTCGAAATGTACATCTTACTTTTCGTCCAGTCCGAAATAAACAAATAAAAGTGAAAATTAAGGGAAATTCATTTTCATAAAGTGTGAATACCTTCGAGTCGCGTACGGAGGAAGCATGAGCGTGCAACTATTGAAAATGGGATTCGATGCCATCTCCAATGAAGACGCAGGTCCAGGAGAATGACAGTTTGCACGACAGCACACGTATAAACAGCGACGACTAGGTAAGCGAGTGTACAAGCGTAGACGGGGCCAATTAATCGGTCTACTTGCCGATTTATGCCCCCCGCTCCAGGTCCACAGAGTTGCCGCGATGGCGTCGCGATTTTATTGGCTTTCATAGCCACCTCATCAATCGTCCCGCCACCTGCTCTCGCCTGTCGTCCTCCAACCTCGTTATCCTTTTCCTCGTCCACCTTAGATACAACGCCAACTCGGGAAATTGCCCGAGCGTTGCTCGCGCCCGGAGATTAATCACGCGCCGCCCTATCGATTCACTCCATGAATGTCCATCGTTTTCTTTTTTCTTTGCTTTTTTCTTTTTTTCGTTCTCGTTGTGTTCTGGCCCGCGAAATCGAACCGAGGGGGAGAGGGGCGCATTCGACGAGCAAGAAACGGTCAAGGAAATGGAAGATGTCGTGGATGAAAGCGAACGAGGATCGATTGGAGAGTGACACGTTGGGCTGGGTTTGAACGATGTTCAATGTGTATAACGAACGGATCAGTTCGTGATTCTTTGTAGTAATAATTCCATAGATTCGCGGTAGTTTTTCCTAATAGTGCGTAGAATAATCTGAGGAAATCCGGAGATTTCATCTGCACCGAATAAAGGAATTCTGCTGCGAGGAAACTCGCTGCCAACGAGATAAATAAATAAAGCGAAGAAGAAAGTAATAGCATTGTTACATACAATGACAAGAAAGAAGTATATCAAATAAATCACAAAGGAAATTGTAACATTATGAAATTATGACATAATGCTATTATAACGTTATACTATAATATCAAAATGAAAGTTATATAAACTTCGCAACATTCACAGAGGAATGCCTCCTTCAGTATTTAGAAATTTTACTTGACATATTATTTTGATATCTAATTCTAATATGCTAGGTAATTTTAATGTATCATTCTTCGCGATGACTCATATACTTTCTATTGCATCAGTCACTCGTCTTTTTCAGTTCGACATACAGATGAAGATATCGAGAAATATTCGTATTTTATATATACATATATATTCCACGATTTGCATCTCTATAAATTTTAAATGCGAAACTCGTTCGTATTACTCATTTCCAGTGCATTACTTGCTCCTTGGTCTAATGTCTAAAGAGAATTATTCAAAAGTCCATCGTCCACAGAAAATTCAGTGTCATGTTTCATCAAGCACACATTACACGATGTGTTTCACAGCTGTAGGCCCTAAATATTTAACAATGAGATTACTTTGGCGGAAGCAAGAATTTAGCTTCCATTATAAAGGATCTATAAACACTGTACATGCCAGTACCCGCTACAATATGCATCCCATAATTAACGTCTGATAATCAATACTGTAATTTAACAAATTTTCGGCTTAAATTGGACATAATAGCAGTATAATATTACGAAATATCGTTGAGGCAAAATATCACGAAGTTAGGTTAATGATTATATCATCCAACAATATACATGAAATAATAATAATAAATGAAACAATACAAACAACACGTATATGAAACATATATACTGTCATATGTAAAATAATATAAATTTTAAATATATTATTTATTATTTATTACTATATATTATATATTATTTATTACTATTTGAGCTTCTCTTCCTTTTTATTCAATTTCTCAATTTCATTGCACAAACACGCGTTTAACGTTAAATTCTCGGAAAACAAACTGCTTGCTTTCGTAGATTTGTTCTTCGCAAAGAAATAAACGGAAAATAAAAGGAAAGATAGTAGATTTGAATTTGAAAAATCAATGTCGCTTCTGAACGACTCACTTAATGATACGAATTAATCGAAATTACAAATGGAACATTGCTGTGACGTAACATTGTCCCTCGATGGATTAATGCGCACACACGTAAGCTGTGATACTAATTGTAAGACAGCAGAACGCGTATATCGCACACCGCTGAAAGTAATTACATATTAAAATTTCGTACTTAGAATGTGACTTTAATCCACGTACATACGTTGCTGCACAACCATAGTAAATCTAACTCCATATAGATTTATCCTCTAAACCGGAATCTGGG